AAAAAAAAATAATAATAATTAAATAAAAGTAATGTTGATTTATATGTTCATTGAACATTCGAGCTGAGTAATTGATCAGGTAAAGTTCAGCATCATTTCATAAACCCAATGCAATCAGCCAGTCAAGCACTTAGATCAAAGCCAAGTGAAGTACTTGAGCGTTTTTATAGCCATAGAGCTTGAAGTGTGTGCCGTGAGCAGCGAACTGCGTGCTGCGCATGCAGCAGCAATGGCAGCAGCAGCAGCAGCAGAAGAGTCCTGCGACTACGACTCATTGTTCCTGTGCCCTGTGTGCGTGTGTGTCTCTGTGGCTCTGTTTCAGGCGGCGCGCGTGCCGCCTTGATGTCTGTGATACCGCAGCGCACTGGCACGTCTGTTGCGTGTAAATATTTTCACAGTCAATAAAATAATATTGTCATATTTATTTGTGCGCGGCGCCGTCAACGTCTGTGTAAATATTGAGCGAGCACTGCAAACCAGAATAAAAATCAGAATTTGCACTTGGTCAGCGGCAACAACAACAACAGCACACACACACATTGACAGTTGATGTCAATTGAATGTGCGGTGGTCCGCTGTGATCATTTATGTGAGAGGCTGTGCGTGTCGGCTAGTTGAACGTGCATTTATTGTCATTATTTATACGATTTCACTTTTGACTTACGGCTGCCACATGCCGCATATTTGTGTATGTACATATGGGTTACTTCATTAAGCATACGACTCGTTGGCAGCTCGTAGCATACTTTGCAATGGCATCTTTAAACAGTTGGACATTATTATAGAGCGCAAATGAAGTAGAAAACGCGCTTGTCGCTGCCCCGCCTCGACTCCCACTCGGCGCACTTCTAATTTATGCAATTGATATACTTTACAGAACTTCAACTCATGTTGTTGGAGTTGTCGTTGCTTGACTGCACACAGGACAGTGCAGACTGCCTGCGCCTTCTGCTACTCAAACTGCCAGCATTWGGTAAAAAAGAAGAAGAAGAAAAATATGGAAACTATTCCCGTAATTGAAATGCAATTAAAATTTGTAAACGTCGTCAGACTTGGCGTGCGTTGACTTCTCGCTGGTGCAGGCTCTCCCTTTCCTTCTCTCTCTCTCTCTCTCTCTCTCTCTCTCTCTCTCTGTCTCTTTCTCGGTCTCTGCTTCTGTCTGTGCTAACAAATTTTTAATGAATTACATTACTTGCGGGTGTTAGGCTCGTGTCTTGCTCGTATCAGCAGCAGCAGCAGCGCCAGCCAGAGAAAAAAATCGTTATTTTCAATTATGGCTGGCCTGAAAACAGACATATACTGTGCCAACAAAAAATTATGTAGAAGAAGCAGATGGAGGAAAATAAGAGGCGAGGCTGCGCTCTCCAGCATCGCTGCTGGCGTTGAGTTTCAGTTGATGTAAAAACTTGTGTGCTATGATTGATTATACAGAAAAAAGAGATGTTTAAATTAAAGACAAGGCGCGCTGGCAAAGTAAATATCATTAAGTCATTACGCATGCACGCACAGTTCACACAGATACACACAAACACACACAGGCACACACACAGACAGACAAGGGCAAGTTGCTGGCCAACAATTTAAAATTTATGATGTGTGAGGCTGTAAAAACCTAATTTGCTGTAGCATAATTAAATGTAAAGCGTGTGCGCGTGTGTGAATATTCAAATATTGGGAATAATCACACCCACACACACAAACACGCACCCACGCACCCACACAGACACACACACAGACAAACATTGGCGTCATGCGTATATTAAATGATTAAATGCCGCCACGTAAGCACAAATTTAATTGTTATTAACAATCAGCAGTCCTTTCGCCCATTTGTCTACAGCTGTAATGAATGGGGGTGTGGCCGGGGTGTTTTTGGGGCGTTGACCATTTATCGGTTACTTTGCGTGGCTTTGTTTCAGCTGTCGATGCTCGACGCACTTTTCCATTCATTTCAATTTATTCGTTTGGGAGTTTTTGTTTGCTTTATGAATTTAAATAGTCATTAATTAACTTTGTCCATGTTGCCGTCCGTGCAGGCAAAGAAACAAAAAATGTTCATACATGGCTCTGAAATTATTACACATACGCCGCATTGTGCAAGAGCAGCAACAACAACAACAGCTACTGTATAACATTTGTGCATATGGAACATATTACAGCTGACCATCCATTATTTTCATGCCCACACCGGTGCCAACTCAATTACAGTTTGTAAACTTTTCAATTAGCCATAAATAGTTTATATTTTTCGTGCAATTCATCGATGGCCTGTTCGTGGCCCGGTATGACACGGCATATGTGTATGGACTTAATTGAAAGGAGGTGGAGGAGGAGGCATTGCTGCCACTGCCACTGCACTGCCTGTGCCGGCTCATCCTGAATATAGTGCGTGTCATTAATACGGTTGAGCTTTAGCCGTGCCTTCCATTGCAGCGCATTTTAAATGGGATGCAACGGTGCGTATGATTGTTATTTATATATCAATACGCCATCGCGGAGCAAGCGTCATTATTGAATGCAAATTTTATTGCACGCCCACCTTTTGCCTTTTCGCAGTGGCCGTATGATTATTTTGCTCCTCACATTAAAAGGTTTCCTTCAGCTTGCAGCTGAGCTATTTATTCCGGCGACTCACACGGGCGGAATATTTTTGTTCAAGAAATTTTCAGTCTTATATACTGTGCGAAATATATATGCGAAAATCTGCAGCGGATAACTCTGTAATATACTTCGAAAATTCCGTAAATCCTCTACGCTTTAACCGAAAAAAAATATTTAAAAAAAAATACAAAAAAAAAAAAAAAAAAAAAAAACGAATTAGCCTCAGGACATGAGGCAACAGTCAGTCACATCGAAGCGAAAATTTTTGTATTTCAGTTCAGCTGCTCGTTTTCGGTTGCAACTGACTGCCTCAGGGCCTTGTTGGCTGTGTTTCCGGCCGTCGTCGACTCGTCGCCATCTTCCTTTTCAATTATGCCCCCACCCCTCCCCTCAACCGTTGGTATTTGCAGGTCAGGTGCTTGGCAAGAGAAGGGTCGTCGAGTGGAGCGGGGGGGATAGCCCGATGGCTACACTCGCCGTTGAGTGAATGTCGATGGTTGTCGATTTACTCATCGCGCTGCTGTAGTTTCTCGTTTTCACACCATCAGGCAGCGTTTGTTGCGATTTGTTACAAATTCTCCTCTTGTTGCCGAGCAATGCGGCACCAGCTACAACAAACACAACAACACGAGCAGCAGCAACAGCAGCAGCACAGCTCGGCAACAACGTCGCAGTTGCAACTGCCAGTGGAAAACAAACCCAAATTGAGTTGTTGATGGAGAACGTCAAAAAATCCACAAATTTTCGTTTTGCGCGCTTTCAGTAGATTTCATATTTTCAGTTTCGCCCTCTTTTTTTTTTTTTGTCAATATTTTGTTGCTGTTGTTTTTTTTTTCGCTGCTCGTTGACAACGTCATCATGCATGATAGATAGTTTTACATATTTTCAGTGCTGTCGTTTTTTCCGGCAACTGCCCAGCGGCACTTGATTTGTTGTTTGTCTTTTGCAGCACGTTTCCGGCATTCTGGGAACTTTTTTTAGTTTCGCTCTTATACCCTAACTCAACTGAAACGGGTCGGGGCTGGTGTATGGCTCAAGCCGTGATTGCAGCTGCTCTAATACATCAACTAGATTCTTTTTAAAATATATGCAATCCCTTTTCATGGTATATCTGAGTCGCATAATTGAAAGCAAGATATTTCTGATTATGTTATTTATGGGCAGCAGCAGCGGACCGGCACATGGCCATCGATTTTTAATAAATTTGCGAGCTGCCAAAAGGTGGGGAAAAGCAAAGAAAAAAAAAATAAATAAAAAAAGCTGTGCACTTTGCCTAGCCAGCCAGCCCAGCCGCTGGCTTGCATAATTTCGTTTCAACTTCATTTCCGTACCGAACTAATCAAAAAGTGTAATTTCCGATTAGTTGTATTCAGCGTCGAGTGCTGTGCCACTTTGACCAAACTGCAGTCGAGAGGTCCTGCCCAGCCGAGCCCTCTCATAGTTGGCATGACTTTTGCCTCAAGTTGGCTTGAATGGCCTGACCGGCCCGGGCCTGGACGACCTGCCTGCCCGCCTTGATGAGTGGGGGGCTTTGCGCCTATTTTTCATTTATTTCTACTCTTATTTTTTTTTTTTTTTTTCTTTCCATTTTTGCGCATTGTTATAAATTGGCACATTGACCCATGCAGGCTGCGGACTGTGGACAACTGAAAAGGGTCAGTGTGCATATCAGTACTGGGTCGGCTAATGACCCTTTTATGCTGTAAGTTATTAGCCAAGGGCCTAGTGAAAGCGGTTAACAACTATGTGGCAAAGACTGCTGCTGATAAATGTAGTTAAGCCATATCATTTGGGTCACGTTGCTGGCTCTGCCGGAAACCCAGTTACAAATCTAGCTAAGGCAGCTTCTCAGTAATGGCATGTGGATGTGTTTAATGGATTTGAGAAGAGTAAATAAATGTTGAGCAGCTGTAATTAGAGTACAAATAGCTATAAATAATGAGAATGAGTTTTAATATACGTCTGAGATATGCAGTTGTCCCATCCCTTCTGTCTCTTTTGATGATATGTATATCTGTTGCTCTCTCTCTCTCTCTCTCTCTCTCTCCTTCTGTTAATCCCCTTTCAATCTTAAAAGAGAATTGTGTATCTGAGTTCACTCTTTAAAAATGAGCTGAATTCTGAGTGCTGCTGCTTTGCTAAAAGTGCAAATTTTTGGTGGTAATTGCCATTGGCATTGTCGTGGGCTATCTCTTGCCATATTCTGTTTGTTTGCTTAGTAGCTGCGGTAAATACTCCAAACACACACACACATGCAAGCCAGCTAAAGGACAGACAACACAAAAAAAAAAAAATCTTGCAGCATTTCATTTGCATATAAGGGGGCACACACACACACACATATACACACTCATGCATACCCACCCAGGCAGACAGTCATGAAAAAATAAAAGCGGCACATTAACAGGTGTTGACTAAGCACCAGGTAGACTGGCTGCAGCCAAAGACCCTCTGCCTCGGTGCCGCGCGGTGTCAGTTGTTGCAGCAGCAGCAACAWCCACAATATTGTTATTGTTGTTGTTGTTATAAAGCATGTGGCATGCCAGAAAATTTGTTTGCTTTTGTTTATAAAAATTTAAGGCACTTTGGACAGATGTGCAACGGGGTCGCTGCGAAATCCCTAAAATGCTCTCTGCCACACCAAGCCGAAAAACAGCAACAACAAGCAACAGCCTAAAATCCCATTTGGTGTGCGGCGCCCACTTTATTTATGCAAAAATAACAAACGAAACACCGAGCTGCCAAACGAACAACAACAACAAAGACAATTGCACTCTCTCCCCCTCTCTCTCTCTTTCTTTCTCTCTTTCACGCTGTGTGCATGGCTTGAATCTGACTGGACCAGACCGGACATTGTCGTTGTGTGGATTATTCACAGTCGTACCAAAAGAGAGTGCAATGAATGAATTTATGTGCTAGGCTCTTGCCGCGTCCCCCTCTCCTTTCGCCCCATCTCTGTCCCACTTGCACCTGGCTGGACCATGCCCATTTAGTGCTCATGCAGTGGCGCTTAACTGTGCAAAATGTATACAAATGCCGCAACGTTTGCCATGTTATCGGGGCCTTATTTCACAGGGCTCGAAATGCAAAAGAGACAGAAGGAGCGAAAGAGAGGGGGAGAGATGGAGAGAGAAAAGCAAACAAAACGCATGAAAAAACAACAATAGGAATGTGCAAATTAAGCGACTTACGGAAGCGGAAGTGCAGACAGCAAAGGATGCCATTCGGTACGGCAGCTGTTAATATTTTAAGCGGCTTATTAATTAGTTGACCCGCCCACTCGACCACTTGCCCACCGCCCCTCAGCAATTTTACAGGCATGTCACTAACTATTTATTTTTACCTTTCTCTGCTTGCAGCCAAAGCCTCAAAGGTCATTCATTTGCGCAACATTCCAAACGAATCTGGTGAATCGGACGTAGTTGCATTGGGCATACCATTTGGGCGTGTGACAAATGTCCTGGTGCTAAAGGGCAAGAATCAAGCATTTATTGAAATGGCCGACGAAATATCCGCCACATCGATGGTCTCCTGTTACACAGTGAATCCGCCCCAGATGCGTGGGCGCATGGTCTACGTGCAGTTCTCCAATCATCGCGAGCTCAAGACGGACCAGAGTCACAACGTAAGTCTTACACTAAACATACATATATAGCCTTTGTATATAATTGATACGAAACTATTTAAGCCAGTAGAACCTATAAGCAGCTAAAGCTGTGGGCCTTAAGTGTTATTAATGTGGCAATTAAGTTTGGGTCAGACGCAAACAACGATTTATATGCAAATGTTGCTGTCTCGTTATTATGTGGGTCGCTCCTCTGATTAATTACAATCTCTAAGGCAACTTAATTCCACACACACACACACACACATGCGTTGGCCATTCATAAATGCTAAGGGATATTTGTCAGTGATGGTCCAAACCAATTTCTAATTTTAATTTCGTAAGCCACAAAGTCAGTGGCAAAGTTTAAAAAGCTTTCAAATAAATACACAAACGCGCACACAAATACCGAAACCAACTATAAATACAGTTGCAAATACAGATAGACATTCACTATATATCTATACATATATATATATATATGTGTATATATTTATGCATATCTTTGCCTTAGCATGTGTCTTGACAAACGCAGAGAAATACATAGTTTTTAGGATTTTGTGGCCAAATCGCACCCACACACACAGAGACGAGCGCATACATAGACAAACCGAATATACACAAATGAAAACCACAAGGTTCTAGCCACATAAATACCTACGCATACAAACGAACGACAGCTGCTTAGCACAAAGTCAAAAGCATATTTTGATTACTTAAATGAAAGCAGCAACAGCAGCAACAAAGTGCGCAATATTGTTGTTGTTGTTGTTGTTTCTGCCAGCTGAAACCCCAAAACGACGTTGTCACCTTGTGTGTGCGTGTGTGTGTGTGTGTGTGTGTGGGCAGCAACTGCCTCTCAGCTCTGGTTTACCGTGCTAGCCTTGTAACCCAAAATGACCCCAAGCAAAACTACTTAAAAAGAGATCGTCAGTCATGTGCTGCAACAACGACAACAGCGGCAACAATAACAAAAAAGGTTAAGAGGCTGCAGCAACTGAGCAGCAACAACAATGCGAGAAGGCGTGCCTATGAATAAGGTGACATCAACGGCAACAACAACAACAACAACAGCAAACACAGAAATAACGTCAGACCAAACAATACAGTTACATTTCACTGATTACCTTTTGGCTGTGCAGCAGTATGTGTGTGTGTGTGTGTGTTTGTGTGTTTGTGCGTGGGTGTGGCCAGATTTCTCTTGTTAACTACTAATCCTGGTAAAAGGCCTTGTTGCTGCTGCTTCTACTTTTGCTGTGGCTGTGGCTGCTGCTGTGCCTCCTGCTGCTGCTGCTGCTGCTGCTGTTTCGCCCAACCCCAATGACAACGCAGACGAGTGGAAAAGTCAACGCCGCTGTCGTTGCTTTTGCTCTAGTGGAAAATCTCTTAAAACGCATGAGTGTGTGTTGTATATATGTGTATGCGTGCGTGTGTGTGTGTGTGTATGAGCTTAATATTGTGTATAGCGCTGTGTTTGGCTGTCATTGTTGCTGCTGCTGCTGTTGTTGTTGTTGTTGTTGTTGCCACTGTCGCCTGCCCAACATATTTATACAATTTCTCATTTCATTCACTTTCTTTTTATACCTTGAATTCTTTGAAAATGGCATTTTAGGGCATATTGGCTTCGTGCTAGACTATGTAACTAATGTAAATGCAATAGATAAATTTGATGCTAGCCATGGCGGTTAAAACAATTATACAAATTCATTTTTTTCATTTTTATTTTAATTAATTGAAATTATAATTTAAAATTATTAAAACTTGCAAATTTTAATTATAGCCTATTATTTTATTATTTCTATTATTATTTAGAAACGAGTTGGAATATATGTTTTTGTCCTTTACCGGAAATTTAATAATTTTTTCAAATCAATATATTTTCCCTTTATATATCAATTAATAGTTGCCCTCACCATCTACCTAAAATTAATTATTCTGTTTACACTTGAAATGTCTCCAATTTACCAGATGAATTATAGCATCTCTTCGAGATCTGTCTACTAGGTTTACCAGAGGAGATAAAGGCTCTTCTCTTGATCTAGATACATGTAAAATATAATACTCTCTCTTATAAGGATCGAAAATCTAGTGCATTTTCTATTCGAGAGCTGTCCATTAGATTTTTCTTACTTGCTTTTCTTTCCTTTATTAGTATTATTATTTTGTTGTTTGTTTTTTCTGTGCCCTTCTGCCCATTGTCAACATGTAATGTTGTGTATGTTTGTGTGTGTGCGTGTGTGTGTGTGTGTGTGTTGTCTTGTTTTGTCTAGTTGTACAACTGCTGTTTGGCCTCACATTTTAACAAGTGTCTTCATTGGCCTTTGTATGGAATTGTCTGCGTCTCCTGCTTGGTCTTACCAATGCGAAAGCTCTTCAGCATCCTCGCTGACAGTTCTGAGTATTGCTTTCATCTCTCATCTTTCTGATGCGTCGCTGCAACGTGCAAAGCTGCAGATAAGATGCGTCGCAATAGTTGCAACAGCTGCTCGCGGAGCTGAATATGAATATTAGTCAAGAGATTCGTTTAAGCCAAATTGTATGTGTTTATTTAAAGCCTCTCATATTGGCAAACTCTGTGCGACCCCAAAAGTTTCCAATTGATCCTAATGTGTGCATATGCAGTCGTATTGAGTTACGTTTGAAGTGAACGTGAATGCCCTGCGCAGCATGGGAAAGAGTTTCTTGCCAGACCAATTGGCCATATGAATCGTCAAATAAGTGTGCTTTAAAGAGTTCCTTTAAGAGTCTTCGGCTAGGCGGGCGAAAGGCCAGGGGCAGACTGAAATCCATTGCATACCTTAAGGGATTTAAACCCGCACGCACCTGAAAGCAAAGCTGCGACGACAACAGCAACATAAGCAGCAACAGCAACAGCAGCAGCAGCAGCAGAAGTAGCAAATCAGCAATACAGGATTTTCAAATCATCTGCGCTCACACACACCCAACACACACAGGCACACACACAGATAACACACGTACAGATTTCAACGCCTGAGTGATTGCGTCGTATAGAGAAGCAGAACAAAAACTGAGAGAGAGGGAGACGAAAAAAAAAAGGGAAAAGAGAAAAGAAATAAAACAAAAGTAAGGAGAATGAGCGTACGAAAACCGAGATGGCAGCATCAGAAATGAAAAACCCTCTAGCCTCTAGCCCCCGGCCCGGCGCTCCACTGACATTTATGTTGGCAATTTGGCAGTTGGCAGTCAGGCGGCGTGGCTCTGCTCTGCTCTGCTCTGCTATGCTGTGCTGTGTCGAGGAGTTGTGCTCGCATCGCAGAGATGTGTAACAGGATTCTAATATGTCATGTCGGTTGGGACGTCCTTTCACCTATGCCGCTTAGCTCCCCAGTGCTCGGCAACTGCTACTATTTCCACCTCCAGCCAGTCAGCCAGGCAGCCAGCCAGGCGGAGGCACTTCAGGCAACAGTTGTTGTGACTATTTTCGTTGCTATTTACGTTGATGTCTTCTTATGTTTGAGCATCTTAGAGGCGGCTGCTCCTCCATCTCCCACTCCCACTCCCCCTCCGCCTTCCCCACATGCTACGCACGTCACTCGCTTCAGCGACCAGAGCACGGAGATTGGGACTGGGACCAGGCACTCGGTGTGGGTCAGGAAAACCTTAGCTAGAATGCTGATTTTGCGGCTGCTGCTTGGAAATGAAGATAAATGCACTGGAAGTTCACGCGGCTACAGCCACAACACGAGCTGGCCGCAAATCCACAGAACTCCAGAGTCCCCAAGCGGTCCCTTGCCACGCCCCACAGCTCAGCCTCTTATATTGCTTAGTGGCTCGGCGCAAATTTGACATGTGATTGTTTTGTCTCTGTTTGTGGCTGCGCATCTGCCGATGCTGGCCTATCAGTGTATGTGTGTGTGTTTGTGTGCGTGTGTGAATGTTTGTAATTTTGATAAATTATTTTTTTAGCCGATCCCCCAACAAGCGGAAAAGGGTTGCCATCCACTTGGGACCAGGCTGCGGGTGTGAGACTGAATTTCAAACAAAACCAAATTGATTGAAATTTAATTTCAAAACAAAAGTAAAATCCGACGAACACAGCCCAGCGATGCGACTCTTCCGTCTCCAGTGTAACATTTGCAATCGCGTCCAAAAGTCGGCAAAATGCGTTCATTAGACGCAAACAAATGAAGGCGCAAACACACCCACACACACCCATAGAGAAAGGGACGACAGGGTCTTTGGGCAATCCGCCCAAGGTACGCCGAAAGGTTGCCTATAATTTCAGGAATCTATATAATTACCACTTGGGCGACAGCAAACAACAACAGCTCAAGCAAACGGCACACTGCAAACACAGCACAGAGAACACATCACACATACACATGCATGCATACGCAACAGTTACAGTTCAATCGAAGCGTTTGCATTACACCTGTCGTCGCTTGCAGTGCGTCGCTCGCGATTTCCAACGCACCGATTACAGGCTGTGACGCCTATCAGATAAAGCTGCAAATATGTATGACTATCTGAACGTGTGTGTGTGTGTGTGTGTATCTGTGCTGGTTTGCTTGCATGTGTGCGTGCGGTTGGACGTCAGTCGGGGCTGGCCGTTGTTGCAGCAGGTGTTGAGTTTCCACTGTGATAAGGTTACCTTGTGATTAAATTAAATTGCCGTCCACAGCAAAAAAATACTGATCCACCGCCCCACCGCACTGCACAGTCGATTTGCATATATCCTACATACATGCATTCGGTTTTGTGGAGAGCTCTGTTATATGTATATATGTAAAAGTGCCTGCAATGGACGAAATAACGAAATTGATAAATTCCAAGTATATTCTAAAAAATTAATAAAAATTTAATTGCAAAATAAATAGTATAACAGAAAAAATTCGAAGAGATAAATAAAAATTAATAATAGTACGTACATAATAATAATAATTAGAAACAAGTAAGAAGGCTCCAGTCGAGACTGCTCGACTAGGAGATACCCTGAACCCTCCAAACTGATATTCTAATCATTCTGGACTTCTTTTATGCACACATACATACACATGCAC